TTGGTGTTCTACAAATAGCTTCTTAGAGATGACAGGTGATTTTTGTGAAATGTTTACTTTAGAATGGTGTATATTTAACATTCACTTTGAAATGTTGAATGAGAGTAAGCCACATAATCTCCATGGTATATTTTCTTTAGGAATTACTTAAATAGTTTAGTCCACAAAACATCATGATGCAAGTCCAGGCAATGAATGCAGCACATGAATCATTGCAGGCTTCTGTGTGTGATTATAGATAGGATAGAGTCTATCCCTTATACTGAATGTAATGTTGAATTGAATGGATAAATGAGAATAAGAGAAAGGAGGGTTGTAGGTGAGTGAAGGAGGCTGTCTCAAAGCAGATGATACTTAGTAGAAGTTCTTCCTCTTGTAGAGAAATAGCTTTTCTGAAACTACAGTAAGAAAAGCAATGAATATGTTAAATATTGTTATAGTCACTCATACAAAGCAAATCCCCAAGACGGTCACTGTATTTCACATTGGAACAAAAGCCCACTTTCTACACATCATTGGTAAAAACAATCTAGTGTCAAAATGTTTCCCTAGTAGGCAAGTGTAGAATAGAATTTGTTATATTACTTGTTATGCAAATTAATCAAGAAGGCAAAATCAAGTACCTTTCTCATGATTGCAATCAAATAATGTAGTCAAATGATTATGTGTAATATGTTCACTTTTTAAATGATTCTTAGCAAACGTTCATGGAAACAAAATGAGATTACAATTTTAGACATTCAACATATCAGCTTGAGGGCACTTGATGTTCTCTCAAAATACTGAAAGACGAACATAATAGTAGATGATAGAGGAACATAATAGCAGGTGGTAATACAGAAGGGCCACTCAGGAGCAACCAGTTTACACATGTTTTTCCTAACCCTAATAAATGCACCAGTATATGGAAACACATCCACGCACACAGATGCACACAGGCGTCACCTTCCTATTCTCTCATTCCAGATCAATTCTCATTCACTTAACCACCTTGAAAAAAGACATATTTTCTACCAAGTGAATAAGATAAAAGCCACATATTCTTACCTCTTTAATCCTGATACAGGTTCTGCTGTACCTTGCCAGTGCAAGAAGAAATTTCCATCTTGCAATTGCTCTGCCACACTTGCACCCTATCTCAATAGAAATGCCATGAGAAATCAATTCATATTC